TACACCCTGATCCTGACTCCCAAGCTCCCTGCTGGTCTCTTCCATTCTCATGCCCCACAAGTTCAACTGGATTTATACAGGGCTCACTGCTTGTCCCTTCACACAAACTCCCTTCCTGTGTCTGTCCGCATCCCATGGGGGCACCAAATTGCAAAGCCTCCCTCACTTCCGAGCCTTCACGGCTTCTGTTAAATCTACCTATAAGACTTGCTGATTGCCCCATGTAGGTGAAATAAAACTCATCCGAGGACCAGATTCAGCCCCAAGGTCAACTGTCTGCCACCACCTCTGGTCCATACCACTCATTTTGGTACTTAATTATATGATTGCCATTATTACTATTTTAAATTTTCAAGTCAATTTATATTTTTGAATAGGTAATACAGTCATGCGATATGAAATTCCAAAGGAACAAAGGGGAATGCAGTGAAAAATAAACCTCCTTCCATCAGCCACCCAGATCCCCTCCTCAGACGTGACCGCTACTTGAGCTATTAGCCATGTGTTATAACCCTCATGACTCTCCAAAAGCAAAGACTATGTCTTATGCCTCATGTCTATCAAAGTGATGAGTAAAGTACAGGCCCTCAAAAAACGCAAATCATAGGTGAGAGTCTGACTCCAGTAACACTGTCATTTGTAAAGTCATCAACAATCTTTTTGCTGTTAAAGGCTTTTCAATCCTTTTTTTTTGTTTGCCCCTCTGTAACTTTTAATAATGTGCTGGATATGATCTGTTTGTCCCTCCAAATCCACTCTCCCTCCTTCCCTGCCCTGCTCTGGGGCCCAGGAAGAAGACATAAGTGGACTGCATCACTGGGCTCCCGTGCCCTCTTGCTTCTGATTGGAGTTCAATGAGAGAGACAGTGCCAGGAAACCTGGAAGGCACTGTGAAATCAAGAGTCAACATGTCCAAAAAATACAAACAAGAAGAAAAAGAAAAAAGAAACAAAAGAGAGAAAAAAAAAAAAAAGAAGAAGAAGAATCAACATGTCCAGCACTGACTTCATCATGCACCCTGCGCAGAGGGCTTCTGCTCCTGCAGTCTCCATCCAGTGAACAGTACCATCACCCACTGGATGGCTGCCGCAGCCAGAAACCCAGGCTTCCTCTTTGGCTCCTGTCTCTCTCCAATGCCCAGGAAGTAACTGCAACTCATGTGTTCTACTTCATTCTTTCAACCTTCTTCTCAGCACCCACAGATCTTATCTGATATACCGGATGAGTCTTCCTTGGTCCTCCTCCTGACTCCAGGCCTGCTTCTCTATAATCCATTCTCTACTCTGCCACCAGAGTCATCTTCCTAATCATACTGCTCTCCTGCTGGGCTCTTCAGAGGTTCCCAACTGCCCCCAGGATAAAAGCTAAGGGTCCCTTAGCAGGATCCCCACCTGGCCTGCAGTGCCTGCAGCTCCTTGTCACATCCCACTCCCGCTCATATTCACTTTGAAGAGATGTACGTTCCTTTCACACACATGCCAGTCCCTGCATTCTTCTCCTGGCCAATTTCTATCTGTCCTGCAAAACTCAGCTCAGGAAACTCCTCCTCCCGGGGCACATCCCAGATCCAGCCACAGGCAGGTGAGATGCCCCCTCGATGAGCTTTCATGGCACCCTGTGATGATCTCTAGCCTAGAATTAGCACACCTGTATTCACTGGTACTTGTCTTTCTCCCCCCCTCACACGCTACAGGATTCTCAGGTCAGTGTGTGGTCACATCTTCTTCCTTTGCATCCCCTGCACCCTGTCCAGTATCTGGCATGGAGCAGGTGCTCAATAAGTATTTACTGAATGAACACATAAGAGTACATAAACTTGATCATAGTATAAATAACATTAATTATAGGATCTAGGAATTGGCTATCTAGTATTCCAACTTTTCTATATTTAAAAAACTTTTTATAATAGAACGTTGGGGATAAAAAATAACATAAATAACTATACCCTAAACTGTCCAGTTTTTAAAAAATGTACAACAACAGGAAGTCAAATCACACAACAGGACACTAGGAACAAGAAAAAGAAAGAAAAATCATTCCCATCTCTTTGGTGCTGTCCTTGCTGTGGTTTCCTGAAATTCTCCCTCCCACTCCTGGCCTCTCTCCTGGTTATCTGCCATTTACGCTTCCCACCTTTTCCTCCTTGTCCTGCTGCCTGGCCCTCCCCCACTCCCACCCCCATCCGCATGTGAGTGCAAACACAAATTCTACCTTCGTAAAGCCAGGGGGTGGGGGTAGGCCATTATTACCTGAGGGATTATCAGAGGTGGGGCCCACATTGATGTGGACTGTTTCAAACGGGGATGTTGGATCATCTCCCAGGAGGCAAAGTGGGGGTGCCAAGGACTCTATCTTCACAACCAGCACCTCCCCTACACCAGGGGCCTGGGCGAGAGTAGGGGTGAAACGGGGAGGGTGGGGGCAGAAAGAAGAAAACCAGGCGTTGAGAGTAAGGACAAGAACAAAAAAGCTTTAGAGCTTACAAACCACCAATTAACTGACGTTCTGGTTTGAATGGGACTCGCGACTCGTGCCTCCCTAAACTGTCTCTGGCCCCTTGTTCTCTCCTTCTACCTTATTCCTGGCCGGGCCGAGGAAGTTTCATGATTTGAAATATTGCCTCAGAATGGCTAACTTGAGCAGGAACAGTCCCATTATCCTCAGCAGTTAACAGCTCTCTTTTTACCAGCCCCATCATAGCTGCCACATATCTCTATATATTAAAAAGATTCCATTTCACTTCTAGAAACCGGGGTGGAGATGTAGCGAATAAGAATGTTAAAGAAATGACAAAGGCAGGGAAGAAGCTCCCCCACCTATGACTCATAGTACACAAATCAATCTTCCGCACCTACGGGTGAAGGGAATGAGGCAGAGTCCCTGCCACACAGAGAGGAGCAGGAGGAGGAAGATGGCTCTCTCACCTGGCTGGAGGGCTCTGTGGAAAGATGTGATGATTCGGAGCTGAGAGAGGAGGAGGAGCAGGGAGAGGATGGCTCAGACTTCACCTGAAGATCTGGAGGAAAAGAAGTTAGAAAATAAACCAGGAAGTCCAAAGAGTGTCCAAGGACAGGCAGGTGAGGATGCCCTCACCGGGGCAAGGGGGATGGAACACACATAAGGTGTTAGAGGAGAGAGGGGTGCACGGACACCTGTGTGGAAGTGTGAGGACACAGGGAATTACACAGTTTCTGGAAAACAGTGGGAAGATGAGGGTTTCGGGAAGGATGAGGGAATCACAAAGGATATCTTACCTGGGAAGATAGGCAGGGGGTCCCATGGGGGCTCAGGGGGGCTGACATCCATCCCCACATCCAGCATGCTGCTGCCAAACTGAATAAGGGAGGATGTTAGCTGGCAGGAATGTGAGAAAGAAGGGGTGGTTCCAGACGACTTCTGGCCTGGGGCTGAGTGTTCGGGTTCTGGGACCACTCCCACCCACCAAGGATAAGAAACAAGGCTGCCCGGGGAGCAATACCGGGACATCCTGCTCCGGGCAACGGAAGAGCTGCGTCTGCTCCTCGGCCACTTCATCCAGGCCGGTGTACAAGGTGCAGTCTGCAAGAGGTGCGGAGCGTCAGGGGGTTGTCAGGTGGCCCAGCCTACGGATCCACACACAGCCCTCGCTCCATCCCTCATTGGATCGGCTCGGCCAGACCCACCGCCCGCCCACTTGAAAAGTAATACAGCCAAAGAACTTCAGCCCCTCCCCCGACCCCGGAACAACTCGACGTTTCCGTAGGGAGCGGAGGTCTCGCCCAGCTCCCGCATCCCCCGAAAGAACGGGCCGCCCTGCTCCGCCCTCCTTCGAAAGGTGGATTCCGCATTTGCCCAGCCTTCCTCTTTGGGCCTCCGCGTCCTTCCGGCGTGCCTCAGGGGCACAGCATGCCACAGCCCTCTCCCCTCCCCCAGGCCTCACTCCGCACACCCCAGTCCTCCGGGCTCAGCAAGTTGTCGGTGAAAAAACGAGTCGGGTCCGCAATCTCGCTGAGGAGCATCAGTTCCGCCATCTTTCCCCCCCACCCCCCCAACCATGAGTTCGTTTCCAAGGCCCGCCTCTCCCCATCATCAACTAATCAGTTGATTCTTTAAAAAAAACGGGGGCTTCACGGAAGCTCTACGGACCAGTAAGAGGCCTGGGTACTGAGCACATGAGTCAATAGAAGAGGCGGCTGGATAGGTCCGGCCAATGGGAGCACGACAGGAGGATACACTTCCACAGTACCGGGCCATAGAGCGCGCGCATGCGCGAAACGGGGCCCATAGAGAAAGCCTGGGAGATGTAGTTCCCAGGCCTTAAAGGTCCGCCATCTCCCCCAGCCAATACAGTTTCTAACCATTTTCGAAAGTGCTCCCCCCCCGCAAAAAAAAAAACCAAAAACAAACGGAGCACATGTGATCATATGGCTTTTTAATGGTAAAAAAGGGAAAGAGGCGCACTGAGACCACTGCTACCTCCCCTAGGAAGGGCAAAAGCAGGAAATAGAATATGGCTGAAACACTCCCTCTGCCCCCCCCCCCAAATCTCACAGCACCAATCACAATTCACAAGTTCCTATCTCTCTCTATCTCTCTCTATCTCTTCTTTTTTAAAAGATTTTATTGGGGAATTGAGGGAGGGGAACAGTGTTGGGGAATTAGGAAAGGAGAATAGCCAAGTTGTCCTTCAATCTTAGTAGTGGAGGGCGCAGCTAACTCAACTCCAAGTCCAGTCGCCATCCCACCACCCATCGGCAGCTCGCAGCCACTCAGCTCCAAGTGCTGTATTCAATCTTAGTTGCGGTGGGCGTAGCCATCATCCCACGCAGGAGTCGAACTGGCAATCTTGTTGTTAAGAGCACATGCTCTCACCAGCTGAGTCATCCTGCCACCCGTTGGCAGCTGAGCAGCAGCTCAGCTCAGGCGCAGCTCACTGGTCCATGTGGGAATCGAACCGGTGACCCTGTTGCTCAGAGCTCGCGCTCTTAACCAACTGAGCCACTCAGCAGGCTCAGTTCCTATCTCTTTTAAGGTTTAACTTTTAATCATCCAAACATCTTGCGCAGACCCTGAGCCAGCCCTGCGTCCTGTTTCTTCCCCTGAAAGATCACCTTTCCCAGCTCCTCCTGCGCTGCCCGGTTTTTTGGGTCTACCGCAAGCACCCTCTTGAGGTCAGCAGTTGCTTTTTCCAGGTTCCCAAGGGCAGCCTGGGCAACCCCCCTTCGATATAAGGCCTTTAAATGCCCAGGCTCCCGCTCCAACACCCGGTCACAGCTCTGGGCTGCCAAATGGGGCTGCCCTAGCAGCAACTGACATGCAGCCAGATTGGCATGAAGGACAGTTCGTTCTGGAGAGCCAGGTGGGGGTAAAGTCAGCAGCAGCCGAAGAGCCCGTCCATAGCATCGGGCAGCCCCTTCAGGGTTCCCAGCTCGAAATAATTCTGTGCCTCTTGCACGTTCTTGCCTGGCCAGGGACTCCTTCTCACTGGCCTCCAGCTCCCAGGAGTCCTGGCCCTGAGTGAAGGATGCCAGTGTAAGCCTAACAGGAGGTCCAGAGTGCCCAGAGAGCTGAAGCTCTGCTTCCTCACCTTGACACATGGATTCCAAGCATTTCTCTATGATCTCCCCCCAAGTTTCCTCTCTCCATGGACCTAACCCCATAGTTAGCTCTGTCCAGCCCTCTGGCAGCCCTGACCCAAAAGGAAACCCAAAAGCCAGCACCCGGCAGCGGGAGCCCAGCTTGGGTTTGTCCAAGCCATGGCCTCGGATTATGATCTTCTTGACAAAGCTCCCATCCGGACAGTGCCAGAGGTCAGAAGCTTGGAGGGGCTCTGGCATCTCACTGGCTGATCTATGAGACTTATCAGCGTCTTCTTCAAGTCCAGCAGCCAGTTTGTCAGTCCCTTGAGGATTCTCTAGAATTTGACTGGCTGGATCCGGGCTCACTTTCAGCTCAAGAACTTCAATAGGTGGCTCTTGGGGCTGCTGCCCAATTTGAGTAGTTGAATCAAGGTTCTTCTGGGGGTACTTTTCCCATTGTCGTTGTAGTTGAGAGGGGTCTTTCTCTCCCACTGGGTTGACTGGTGGCGTCTCCATTTGGCTACCTGGTCCCTTCCACTGTGGGTAAACAGTTTTGGTCGGTCAGGGATGGACCAGGTTCAGGTCAGCACCTGAAAAAAATAAAAAAAATCAAAACAATGCTAATAGTAGGATTCTGATTTAGACTCCTTTTCTGTCCTGCTGGGACCCGGGTCCCAGTCCTCAGAGTCCTCTTTTTAAAACTTTTTCTCCAAAAATCCCTGTCCCGCTCGAGCCTCGGTCCACACAGAACTAACGCAGAACTATAAATTCCATAATTCCCTGCGGTTCGGGTAGCCGCCCCAACTACGGAAACGGATCGAGTCAAAAAGCCCTTGGGAGGCCGAAGCGCCTGGCTTGTGGCGACAGCCGGACCATTCGGATCACCTCTCCTTCCGAAGCTCAGTGCTTACTGAGTACTGTCCTTGGAGTCGTGCCTCCGGCGGAGAGGCCGGCCGGGGGGGCAGGGCCGCGCGCGAGAGAGACACTGACAGTTACCCTTGGAGCACGCACGTCGGCGAAGCTAGTCGGATTCCTGGCAGCCAATCGGGAGGAGGGAGAAGTCTGGTTAGCCCGCCTTTTGGACATGACATCATTTCCCCCCGCACCCGGGAAGCTCCAGGCCTTAGCAACCAAACTATGCTGAATCGAACCGAACCAGCGCGGTCTGGCTAGCTAGGTTATTGAGAGTCTGGAGAAGTCCTGAAATGGGAGATTGGGGTGAATGCGAATAGAGTGGGGAATGGTGGAGCTGGTGATGAATGATAGCGGCAGCAGACAAGTCAGTCCTTTTATCTGGCGACCTCAGGCTCTGTGCTATTCACTTTATCCCTATGTTTGGGGCTCCCAGCCATAACCAACCTCCTGCTTCTTCTCCCATTCTATCCAGAGTGCTCCAAGATAAACCCTCAGGCCACTTTCCTCTCAACCGGCCCTATTCCCTTGGGGGACCACCTGCGTCCTCTTACCTTTTCCCTCATATTCATCATTGCCTTACAAGCTCTTCTTCCTCAAGAAATCTTTGACAGCGCCTTTCAAATTTTGACGTGCATATAAATCACCTGGGGAACTTGTTAAATTACAGGTTCTGATTTAGGAAGTCTGGGGCCTGCGACTCTGCATTTTTAACAAGCTCTTGGGTGACGACGACGATGATGATCCATGGACTACACTTTGAATAGTATGATTCTAGAATAACATCACCCCATTCTCTTTATCACTTGCTCTTTGCTTCTTCAGTGTGTCCTATATTTTGCATATGTAACTGGTATAACCTGCTCCACCGGGTGTATCAGTGGAAAACTGGTCCTCTTCCTCCTCATAGAACATGTAGGTCCCTTTGTGATTCAGCCTTGCTTGTCCAGCTCCCTGCGCAGGCTGGGCCACCATAGCTCTTCAGGGAAGGAGAAGCCCACTCTCTGTACTTCACTTGGGCTCATTTAGTTTGCTCATTAACACCCTGCCATTGCGCTCCAGACCACAGAGACCATGGCAGGACAGCCAGGAGAGAAGGTAGTTTCATCATTATCCACAGATATGTATCAAAACAGTCCACTCCTGTTTTGTGTTGAGACTCACTAACCTAGACTGGTTTTTTTTAAGTTCTATTTCTGGGTTTTGTGCCAGGGTAACTTTACACTGCTACCCCCTCCCTCTATGGCTTACTACTCTGATTCATGGAATTTCTGAGTTACTGTTGAAAATGAATCCATCTTTTCTCCTTCTCTCTTCCCCTTTCCATTTCAGAGATTTCTGAGAAAGGCGTCACAAAAGGTTTGATTATACCCTAATCCCTGGACAAAGATTGCTAATTTATATTATGTGTGTCTTGCTGAAAGGGCCATTCCAATGGCCCTTCAAAGATCAGCTTCTTTTAGTTAAAAGAAACTATACTGTGCTACAAATGTATTGCTTTGAAATGTTCTCTTGTTGTGTGTGTGTGTGTGTGTGTGTGTGTGTGTTTCCTTTCCAACATATTCTACAGGGCAGGGAACTTGTTTCTATTTCTTTTGTGTTTCATCTCATGCATTCATTCAACAAATATTTATTGAGCACCTGCTATGTTCCAGGCAGCATGCTAGGAACTGGGGATACATAGGTGAGTGAGACAGACACAGTCCCTGCTGTCATGCAACTTATAGTCTGTCCAGGGAGATTAAGCAATTGTAGTGCTATGTAGAAGTATGACGTGCCATGAGAGTGAATGAGGGACGAGGGACTATTCCCTGATGATGAGAGATTTTTTGCTGGCATCTAAAGAATGAGTTAGAACGAAGTCTCCGAGAACACACCTATAGACCCCATATTGAGAAACACTGAATTAACTGGTTAACTTTGGCTCTTCAGGTGATCCCTCATCACCATGGTGACTAGAAAAACAAGCGCAAACATTAGCAATGAAACTCCTAAAAAAAAAAGTAATCCAAATCATCCAGAATTTTTTTTTGTTTTTAAGATTTTTTATTGGGGAATTGGGGGATGGGGAACAGACAAGTTGCTGTCCTTTTGTTCTTCAGTCTAGTTGTGGAGGACGTTGCTTCATTGGCCCAAGTTGGCACCATCATTGCTCTCTTCCCAGGCGAGGCAGATCAGTCCCCGGCTTCTGGACGGCCGCTCACTGCGGCTGCTGGCTACACACGGTAGCCCATGGCAACCCACTGCAGCAGGGGCTGCAGCCTATGCCGCCGCCAGTGACTCACAGCAGCCCAGCTCCAGGTTGAGCTGTTGTTCAGCATCTTAGCTGTAGAGGGCAGTGTCACTGGTCCTCATATGTGGGATCCGAACCCGGGCCCTCTAGCGTCCCAAGCCAGCTCTTAACCAACACACCACTCGACAGGCCCTATTTTTATTTTTTAAAAGATGACCCATCAAAATGAAAACACAAGTTTTTAAAAAGATTTTTATTAAAATATAGCTAACATACAATATTATATTAGTTTTCAGGTGTACACCATAGTTATTCAACATTTATATACCTAAAGATCACCATGATAAGTCCAGCAAGCATCTGACACTGTACCACACTATCACAGATAAAATTTAAGTTTTATAAGAGGATTCAGAAGTCCCCAGAAGAGACATCCATAGATCTATAGATTCCCCCAGGTCTCAGCTTGAGAAACACAGGACTAGGAAGGGGCCAAGGTATGAAGACTCGGAAATGGAAAGAGCATAGGCTTCTCCAAAGTGTCACTGCATGAGTGTTGACTGACTCACACTGCTTGCTCTCTCCCAGCTCCCTGTCCCTTGAGTCTCATGATGCCAGGGCTCAGCTCTCTGGGAATAGTCACCAAGGAATCAGGAAGAAGGAAGGGAACAAGCCAGGAGGATTGTATCCCCAGGCCTGGCTAGAGAATATGGGATCTGAGGAAGACATAAAAAGAGAATGACAAATGAGAATTTGCTTACCTGTTGGGACAGAGGCTTAAACTGGTGAGTGAGGAAGGAGGAATGTCTCCCCTCTTTTTACTAAAGATTTGAGAATGAAATGGAAGAGCAGCCTTGAGGGGAAGAGATGAAAAGGAAGTTTCTTCCCCAAGTGACTGGATTCATTTCCACCCTCTCACTACAAGTGTCCTGTGCTCCCCGCCCTTCCTTTGGTGTGGCAGGGACTGACTTCACAAACTTCAAAGTGTATGGATGCAACTGGGACATGACTTACCTTGTACCTTAGACACTTCCCCAGTTTCAGATGAGAGGGATGGGAGGGAGGAGCACACAGGAACCCCCGGAAAGGAAGTGAGATTATGGTAGACTCTGGGTTAGGAAAGTCAAAGAGGCATCTGGGAGAATGGGAGGACTTAGCAGGGAGGGGTGAATGATTCTGCTAGCTGTGTGGAAGATGAATCCCATTCCAGAAAAATTCTTCCCTCCTCCAAGTCATCATAGGGAGCACTTAATGCCTTGCTGATGATAGGTCTGAGGGGAAACCCCATAACTGACAAGTTTCTGAGGATTTACCTGTTAAATAATTGTTTTACACTCCACTTGGAGTCACTTCTTTCCTTCCTTCTTTCTGAGCCCCCTCCTTCCAAGGTGGCCCAGAGGACCCGGCCATATTCTGCAATTCTCTTTGCCCTATCCCATCAGGGCATTGTTTTGCCTTCATTAAAGATCTAACCTGATGGCAGAACCCAACGAGAGGTTCAGGAGCTGGTACGAGGTAATTTGTGAGCTGGTGTTTTCTCCACACACAGAGCATAGGCTACCTGCCCTCTAAATGGGCAAAGTGAGGTTCTTTTCTTATTCCTTCAATAATCCTTACTGAGTACTCAGAATTCGTCAATGGAACATGGAGATAAATACAAAGATCCCCACCAGTTGTCTAATAAGGATAGAGTCATAGTTAACCAAAGCTCCAGATGCGGGGGCAAAAGTGATAAGTGAAAGAGAGGTTATGCCCAACTGGGGGTGATCTGAAAAGGAGTCAGAGGGTTGAGCCTTGGAGGATGGCCATAATTTTGACATGCCATGATTGAAGGGACTTACTGCAGGTAGAGGAAGCAGCACAAGGCTGGAGAGATAAGGAAAGGAACCCCACTTTACACCCAGTATCACTCATCTCTGGCTTGTCAATCTCAGCTTTCTCAGAGCATTCTAATACCCGTTCATGCTGCCCTGTCACCCCTCAGGCATGGAGCTGGTTGGAAGGCTTGACAGCCTCACATCCCCCTGCGTTGTGTACCCACCACTTGGAACCATATGGGGCACTTGCTCTCTGCCATTTAGCATCAGCATGGGAGACAAAAATTCTAGCTTTCCAAAGGCTAAATTAATTTCCCCTTCTGTTTAGTTTCGGTGGTTTCTGTGGTTTTTAGTTCTGGGATTTATGTCAAAATTGTTCCTCCTGTTCACTCTCAAAGCATTTTGCTTGTGCTTCTCTTATAGGCAGGGTTGTCAGATAGGACGAAGAAGTGAAAGGCAGCCTTTACCACAGTGAAACGTTTAATGATGAGAGCTGCTCTATGTTTTTTCCAATTACAGTTGACATACAGTATTATATTAGTTTCAGATGTACAACAGAGTGCTTAGACATTTATATAGCTTGTGAAGAGATCGCCTGATAAATCCGGTACCCATCTGACACCATACATACTTATTACACTACTAGTGACCGTATTCCCCACACTACATTCTATATCCCCATGACAATTTTGTAACTACCAATTTCTACCTCTTAATCCCCTCCCCACTCACCCACCCCGCTCACGCCCCCAATCCAGCAACCATCAAAATACAAATGAGAGCTGCTCTTTACCGAGCCTACCGCATTAAGACCACAGAAGCAGGCATGCTAAGTGTCTCATGTGTATCACCTACCTCATTTCTCCTCACAACTCCTTGAGCTACCTACTCAGTCATTCCACAGATCCTTATTGAGGGCCTCCTCTGTGCCAGGTACTGTGTGAGGTTCTGGGAATAAGGCAGTGGCAAAAGTCCTGATCTCTTGTAGCTTATATTCAAGTGAAGGTAACAGGCAATAAAAATCAACCAGTAAAGCATAATT